ATTTATTATTATTATTTATTTTTATTTTTAGAATTTTTCCTCCATATGCATGACCTCGCCCCATATATAAGACTGATAGTCTGACTTCATACTATATAGATATAGATATATAGATATGGATATATCCTTAACTAGACATTAGTCTCTATGCTGCCTCTATGAACGGTTGCCTCCATAAACTATAGAGGAAAACCATATTTAAAGGTGAGTATTTGGGATGATGTGGGTTTGACTGTGTGTTAAAACTTTAGATTAGGGTTTTTCTTCTCCAAGGTTAACAATAGTGTTCGACTGAACAGACCACACAATTGACATAGATCTTTTTATGCTCTGATGAAGGCGATTCTGCCGAAATGTTAGCCTGTCTCTGTGTTGTAATGTCTTTTCAATAAAACACTGTTTACCAACCTCGAGTATTGCTAAACAAAAATACAATCAAATATCCGTAAATAATCTCACAAACGAAAAAATAAGGATTCAATTTAAAATGTAAACGTCTATTATAATTGCGGAAAGCGAATTTCATGAGGGATAGAAGATCACTAGCTATAAGAAGCCTAGAAATTTAAATACCATTAAATAAAATGTAAACGTGGTAATGTTGGGAGGATAAATTCGTCACTTTGAAGAGTTTGTTTATATTTTGCGACGAGAAAAAAATCGTTTGTTAAGTGTTTATTATGCATAATTATTCATTTTTCGATATAATTTTCTTCTATATTATAAATATTTCTTAGCCTCATATCATAGTATGTTAATCAATGCAATAACTTGAGCATAAACGAGTGGATATTTCTGATTGAAGTCATAGCAAACATTAAATTACTTCTACGAACTCACTACTGCTTTTCAAACAAAAATCGGCTATGCTACGGTTTTTTCTACGTTTATTTATAACGTGTAACATCATGAAATTGTTTTTCTATACGACATTTCATACTAATCTTGAGGAAAATTTCTATAGAGGAATGAGGAGAAATAAATCTACCATAAATGCAAAAAAGATATAATGCAGTGTTCGTCGTTATTTTTAGTTAATATTGAATAGATTTGTTCATTTATTAAACTACTTGAATGGTCTTCTTCACGTTTACTGCGGCATCTACCAATTTTCCATTCGTTTCCTCGTGTGACGAGAATGTCATCAAGGTGATCTTCTACACACATGATAACACTCAAATGATTCTTCCTGCTTCGTTCTTGCAAAGTTCTGTACATACAGCTGTTTGGCGATAGCTTCTAAACGCTCTCCTATGTTGGAGTTGGTCGTCCAGAAGGATGTTTGCACCTACTTGGGTTATATTACATAGCTCTTTTTGCCTATCTACCGATTTGCCTATCCTTTATTCCATTGTATGAGCAACCCATCTATATCTCGCTAGCAACGTGTATAGCTTTGAATTCTACAGAAGAACAGAATATTTTTTGACAGTCTGTACTGTGAGGACCGGTTTGGGGTTGCATTCGTCGGTCATATTCAAGGACGCATTCTTCAAGGGCCCAGTTCTTAAATTCTTTTACATTGAGATAGCAACCTAAGCCTTGAACGCGCAGAAGAGCGCTGAAAACTACGAATACGAAGAGTTGGAGATGTATTTCAGAGTCTGCTAAATGATGAGTGACCTCTTTTAAGAGCTCTCGACGCAGCTTATGCGGTTCTCCTTTGATATTGTTAATCTTTCATTTGTTTTTCATACTCATAGATTGTCCAAGGTCTATATTAAACTCAGTTTTCTCATTTCGAGAGCCATCAATCTTGATTTCATTTTCATCCTACTATAGGCTTCTTATGAACTAGGTTTTCTTGTTATTTATTCGTAGTCCTATCCTTTTCCCAATTCCGCTCAATTCGCTGACATCACCTCTGCTTGTTCTATATCCGCCAAAAATTAGATGAGCTCACCTGTAAAACGAAGGTTTAATAGAATCCTCATAAGAACGCCTACTCTCTACTAATCCAACGGCTTCATTATCCAGTGCAAGGCAACAACAGAGAACATTGGCAAAATTGTAACTCAATGAGATCTTTTTTTCGATGAAGATAACGTACATCTTTTTAAAACACTGCATTTTCGTTGAACTATTTTGATAAGTGCCGTCCAGTATAATTATGGGAGACCGTTCCATTCCTCGATCGACAACCGCTGACAACACAGCTTCCGCTTCGAAGCGGTCGAATGCTTTTTCATAGAAGTTTGGAACAAGGCATAGGTGATACTTTGAACAAAGCTTTATAACACTTACTACCGCCCAGATAGTTTTAATGACATACAAATACTGAAAAATATTAACATTACTATCTGTTGGCTTGTTTAGAAATGCTTAGCACGTAAAATACGTTATGTGATTCAAATATTGATTTTACTCGAGAAAAAAAGTAAGAGACCGAAGTTGTCGAATATGTAAATCAATAATGCATTATGAACTCACGACCACTATAATAGAATGATATTATTGAAATCAATACTGTCGGATGCCTTTATGATAAACAGAAATAGGTACAATATACATATATATACATTCGCCCTCGTTTTGATATAATGGGAGTGACTGAAAACGAGTTTGTTCCACTAAATGAGTTGAGCTGATCAATTTGCACTGAGTAAGGGTTGCTATTGCGCCCAAAATATTCCAGTAAAAATCTGCTAACCTCAGAAAATAGGTAGGTATTTTAATTCAGGACGCGAACGCCAGCTAGCTTTTTAACATTACAATATCTTACCCCAATTTATTACATACCCACAGACTCATTCACGATACGATATAAATCTGAAAAAATATCTTGTGCTTTTTCTATCTCATGAAAAATACGCGAAAAGCGCTCAAAAATGCAATCATTCTCTTAAAAAACATCTTTAAAGATTGAACTTGTAGAAAACAAAAGAACATTCTTTAGTCCAATGAGTAAATGAGTTCTGTAAATTTATGCATCCGAGTTACAACACGAGATCCTCAATAACAACATTAGTTATTTATTTTGTACAAACTGTTCTTCATTTCACGTCATTTAAATAATTCAGATGCCTGTTTTAATTTAATCAATAATGTTTAAATTCCACAATATATACGATAGCATCGGATATTTCAAATGAAAATAATATTTGTAAATGAACGAAATTCGTCATTGTTTTTTTTTGTTAACAGACAGACGAACAGATCCGAATTGTTATCGAAATAGCGGTCCCTGTTGAGTTGAGTGGAAAAATTAGTAATCTGGTCTCTAAAAATTTCAAATAGATAATTACATGGCAAGTGAAACGATTGGAAAATTATCAAACAGGTTTGCGTATAATCTATTTCAAAGCGTTTCAATTTTAAACAGCAAAAAAAAAACCTATGAAAATTGTAGTGGTGGAAATTCGAATTGGGAACAAAGACAAGTTTTGAATCCAATCAGTGTTGGTTGACTTCTGCTTATCAGGAGCATCTCATTAACCTTCATGAAAATTATGGCAGAGAATGCATACACATACGTGCTTGCTTTACAGGATTCAACAACCTACAGGATTAAAGGTTGTGCTATTTATATTCACACATAATTCTGGCAATGATCTACAAAGGTATGACTCAAAGAGTGACAATCACTACCTGACGCCAACTTACCGTCGCGCTGCAACACCTTTGACAACGTGCATTAATGAAAAATTTCCTGTGCTTGATGTGGTGCCTTCTACTAAATTGTTTGATTTCAATAGAAATCCGGTGCAGAATCGAAGTCAAAAAAAAAATCACATGAATTAGATTAGTCGTTTCCTTTGTTCTTGCGTAATGCATGGAAAGAAGAAATATACCTCTGTTGTTAGTGAGGTTGTTGTTCTTCATGTTTTTACTCATCTAAATAGTTTTTATAAACACAATGGACATTAGAAAATATTAAGGAAATGTCCACCGACTCGTAAGTGAACAAATCCTCATACCTGCTGTGAAAGGATAATCACAAAACATAAAGAAATCATCGGAAAAGCCATAAAACAAGGAGCAATGCGTCATGAAAAGCAAAGGTGATATGTCGATAAGGACTTAAATCACGGATAATCACGAATACGGACCAGAATATCTAGTCAATGAGCATCAATGACCGCCACCTATTCCCTCGCTATCGGCCAACCTTTTCCAAACGCAATAAAGGTGGCAGAGCTTAGTGATAAGCGACCAACAGTGTGTTGTCTACGTGCTGAATCGTAATAGGACAAGTACAAACTGCGTGTTTACATCGCGAGAAAGAAACGAAATATTCCTATGATAAGACGCTTTGGTGCTGATCAATTCTTGGGAATGCACTCTACTTAACACCCCAACACTACTACCCTCACACATACCTGCCCTCTAAGGGCGTTCAAAAATTGCGCATTGATCCATGTTTCAGGCTACACCGCGGGAAATTGGGAAAAGCTTCCAACCATCTACAAACGCACCCCGGTATGTCCTCATTGGTCACGCTGCCGCCACTCCGCAGATCTCGTTTTCTGCCCGGTTCAGCACTAAATATATAGCCGTATGTGGTGCAGGTTGAGCAGAGCGGTTATGAACGCGAAATTCTACGAACAAAATCTCGTTGTTGTCTTTAAGGAAAAAAAGTAAGTACTCGTCATTCGAGAGAGCAGAAACTACTCGAACATATTCTAATTTGATTGAATATTGAGACGTTTCAAATGATGGAAACAACACGAGTGTTATTCATCAGCTTAAAGATTAAAAGAATAGTGCCTTACAGTAATATGTTAATAACTAGCTTTTGTTTATTTTGTATTTACTACATAGACAATAAATGAGGAAAAACTGCACAAATCCATTGTTTGCAGTGAAAAAAAGCACTAGGTAAATAAACAAAAATTTCAGCATATTAAAGCAATTTGTTAGGTACTTTTTAATGGTATGGTAACATTAAAAAGCAGTCCTTTAGTAACATTTACAAAATCGGTCTGAAAAAAATAGGCTTAACGCTAGTTTTTTTTTTTTGCTCAATATCATGCATCGGCACGTTCACGACGTCAACAAATCTACGCTATATCGCCGTACGCCTGTAGTAAATATCTTTTAGCATTCAATGAAGATTCATAGCATTTAGCCAAAGCTAAGACACAACTATTACAGAATCCCACAAGTCTAAGCATAATTCAGTACAAACTTGTCGAAGACTTAGCAGAACATACAATTTTTTTGGAAATGTGCATGGATGCAACGGCACCATCTTTGCTTATGGTACATTTCATCGTCACATATCGTATTGTTATTGTAGTATTACTCATATTGATATCATGCTGTTATATTTATAGATATTCCGTGGAATCACAGAAAGGATCAAATCATGCAGCAACCAAAAGTTTTTTGAACGGCTTCTGGGCTGGTATATTCAATGTTCTTCTCGTCAGTGTCAAAGCATACGGCTTTCTGTAAGATCGTGGAGAAATGATTTTCATAAGGTGCACTTATTCGTTATTTGGGAGCTCGTTTTAATAAAGATATATCAGGAATATAGAAAAAACCAACTCATTTATAAGGAAATTATATTTCCATCGTATGGCTTAGTTGAAATATTACCATTACAAAGATACCATTTAGAATACCTCCACTGTCGACATCCTACTGATTGTACCACATTTGAAATCAAATAAATCTTGTTGGTAATCGGCAAGCACACTTTTGGTTTGTCGCTTTTCTGTAGGCTCACATGGAGCGGGTATGGAGATGTTCGTTACAAATATCGCTTTCCAAGAAAACCGCCCTGAAATCTAACGAAATAGAAAAATCACATAAAAAAGTATTGCCAGCGTATCACATTCATTCTGATGCACATTTACAGAAACTATTATCAAACGCTGAACAACTAAATTGTTATTTGTCGGAAAAGCTTTGATGCTACAGATGCTTCATAGAAACAAAAAGACAACGACAATGCATCAGAAAAAGCAAGCGTTACAATTCAAGCTGGCCAACGAGCCAATCGAAGAGCCGACCGTTCGAGAATGAGAAGTTTGTACCACCAGGGGAAAACCGAGTAAATAAACAACACAAGTTTTATAAACACTAGTCACCCCGAGCCGTATGAATCGGAACATACTTTTTTGACCAACATGACTGACGCCGATTTTTGATAGGTTTATTCCTATTATTGAAAATGAAGAGTAATGGAATAAAACCAACATTTTTCAGAATTTCAGGTAAAAGTCATTCATCGATTCGAAAACTTGGCCACAAAAAAAAATAGGTAGGACAAATGAATGAATATACTGGGTAATTCATAAATTTTGGCGAAATAAATGTGACACTACTGCTCCACTAATAGAAAAACTGAGAAATATCCCATACAATAATCTCGCTAGAAGTGACGTCACATTATAAGTGATAACCATTTGTAATCAGCAATTGGATTTATGAAAATTCTGTAAAATAAGGTAGACACGTCGCAATCCTCATATTAGGAACAACAATAAAATTTACCATCAGTGTTCCTTAGCAATCGATTTTAGATAACGAATAGCCATGAAAAACGAAGTATTAACAAATAAACATGAAGGATATCACATTAAAGAAGTGTAGCCATCTACGATGTGGTCCTTCTGAAATACGCTCATTTCTGGTGGAACTCAATCGCTTTCAATTCGTGTCTGCGTGTGTATCATCCTCATATTATTTTTTTTATACTCATATTTTTTCACACGGATCTGCAGCATTTCCTATGAATATTAGCATCAAAGTATTCAAAATGATCAAATGTTTAGGTTTCACCTTTCCATATGAGCGGATGATTATTGGCTTGAATGCTATTCAGGAACCATGAAATTGAATACTTTCTCCTCTTTTCTATCTTAACGTTCATATCTCATATTGATCGTACCTTCCGACAGTTCAAAACTATAAAAGCATTCCAGCCTCACTTCACATCTTACTTTGACTTTACCTTCCTTTGCCTTCGATATTACTCTTTACTTCTCTTCTGTTCAATCAAGACTTCTATCGAAAATACTCTCTATATATCATCTCTTTCATCTTGGCCATAGGATTCCCCGACCAAGTACACCATCAGTTTCTCTTCACTTCCTCTCAGGGAAGTTTATTGTCATAAACACATGCTGCCTTATGTCGCCTTCACATTTAAATCTCAATAATCGGGACGGTTACGATTTTCATCAAAACATTAATTTATGTTTATATTGTATATTTTTGATGAAAATTTATTCATAGATGTTTGCGGTACATCACCCAACTCTGGAATAGAGTTTACGGCTACCGAATTCAAGCCAATACAAACGTCAATGAGATGAGTAGACAAACCCAAATTAATGAATCTGAAGCAGAAAGCATTTGAAAAAACATGGTAAAAACAGTTTTAATAAATTAAAGTTTAAATAGCTAAAACATTATTGCACTTTAATAGTGGTAATCCGGAGAGTTAAGGTTAGCATGATGGTAATCTGCTCGATTCGATTGGTGTGTTATCTATTTCTTATTAGAGCACTTTACGTTCTGATACGCCTATGAATGATTTTTTAATTGGAGTAATTAGATTAAATTAAAGAGCTGAGTTCTAAAATTTTACCTTGATATATTTTTAAAGCATACAACAGTAATTTTCTTGTATGATGTGATGAAGTCGGAAAATGGCAAAGTCTTCAATAGAATAAATAAATAAAAACAATCAAATTATATCGAATCTGAAAAAAAAACAAACTTCCGAGAGCAAAGTAAAGCACGTCCATGTGAATGAACTAAAACAATGACTTGTAGAAAAGTGCTCACACCCAATCTTGCTTCCCATCTAGAAGAGCGGTTCCAATTCCCGGTAGCTATTTAACATGTTGTAGTAGACTTTCATAACGGAATTATTTTAGTACGTGAATGTCACTTTTACAACATCTATTATCGCTTCAGTATCGGTAGATCATGCTGTATTTGATTATCGTAATTTTCCATTATATCTATTACTCTTTGTAGATAGAGATTCAATCATCTGTCTTTGAGTTAAGAGTTCCATGGGCTCCATGGGCTCCATTGGCTGTAGCATTTTCAGCATTCTCCCGCTAAAATGCATCTTATTTACCTGTCAAATTTTCAAAAATCAAAGTGCTTTCCTACATTGACTTCATCCTGTCATACCTTAATGATATGCCTTTCTTTACGCTTTCTTCCTCTATGATATATTGCATTGAAACTCAGAAGAAGGATTTTCGAAGCAACAGAATCGGTTTTTGTTTCATCACATGAAGGTAGGCAAATATGATTATTGTGAATGATCTTCCGCACCTCATTTCCTTCACTGCTCCTTTTGTCCTATTTTCAGGTTTTTTCCTATTTTTACGTCAGTTCAAGTGTTAATTGGCATTCCCGGCGATCGCAGCAGCTCTATGTTAGCATAGAATCTCGACATTATTAGAGGCATTCAACTCTTAATAATTTGTAAATTCTTCATAGTTCTTGCGTTTTCGGAAAATTGCTGATGGATGGTATTTGTCTTCCGTTTTGTCCATGACGTTGTGTCCTTTCGGAAGCAATCTATGCAGTTAAGCGCATTTCACTTGATTTTGAATTTGGTTTTTCACTTTTTGAAAAATACAGCTTTCTTATATTCACGTGAGAACGAGAGAGCTTGTCATGAAGCAAACGATGAATATGAATTTTCGATGAGCTACCAATATTCAAATCGAGGACAGTTCATTAACAAAATGCTCACTTATCTATCCTATGTATAGTGATTAATTAAGTGATTAATTATTGATTAATTGATTACAT